CAATAAACATTAAACCATCCAAACCATCCAACATTGTAATTGTTTTCGGCAGCTTTCACGGCTTCCGCAATTTCTGCGGCTTGATTAAGAATTTGGTATGCAACCTTAACCTAAATTCGCTCTTCAAAAGCAGCAGCACGTGTTTAATGCAAAAAATTTGTAAACGGTAGGTTTTTATGCAGTACAGATATGTAAATAAAATAAAATAAGTATAAAATATAATGTTAAATATAAATAAATATCAAGTCATTTATTGTGAGAAAGGAGATGTGCATCGATTTATAATTACTACAATTGAAATATAAGTCTGGTGTAACTTTGAACTAGTCGCCGTTGGTAACACAAACTAGATAATTATCTCCGAATCTTTTACTTAAAAATCTCTGCGTAGGAAATTGGCTATACTTGTTTACAAAATAAGAAAGAAAAAAAAATTCAAAATAAACTTGTTTGCATTTAATATTGAATAATCATCCTCTATAATGAACTTTAACTAGTAAAGGGTTTTTCATTGGTAAAGTAATAGAACGACCATAATCAGGAGGACATTTTTGTCCCGGTACCATTTCAAATTTAAATTGTCTTAATACAGCTGTCGCTAACATTATGGCTTCAACTGTGGCAAAATTTTGACCAAGACTATCCAATTATTAATATAAACAAAAAGTTAATAAATATTGTTTTTTTTTTAAAAAAAAAAAAATGTTTATTCTACATACCATAATCTTGGTCCAGAATTAAAACTATTAAATTTAAATTGACTTGGCTTCAATCCATCTTCAGAATTTAAAAATCTTTCGGGGTTAAATTGCTTTGCATCACTCCCCCATACCCTTTCATCTCTTCCCATCGACCAGGTTGACCAACTAACAATCTCACCGGCATAAATTGGTATGCCATTGGGAAGCACATTATCTTTAATACATATCTATTATTAAAAAAAAAAAAGCATCTATTAAAATTGTCCTGCTAAAAACATGCATAAAACTTTTACATAATTTTTTTTATCGGTAATTACCTTCATATTTTTCGGTACTGCTGGATGTAATCGAAGCGTTTCGTAAAATACTGCCTGCGTATATTGAAAACGTTTTGTATTGTCATAACTTGAAATTGGATTTTCTGGAGTGAGCAAAGAATTAACTTCTTTAACTAATTTTTCTTCAACGGAAGGATCGACCATAATATTATACATCATCCACGAGAGCGCCTAAAATAAAAGATAACACACAAAATTAGTTATACTTTTTATAAGTATTTAAGAAGTGTTGAACGCCAAAGCATTATTACTTGTGCGGTTGTGTCACGTCCTAAATTATGCAAGATTAAGATTAATAACAAGGGTAATAATAAATAAATATACATATTACTATGAAAGACGTACCAGCAATGATAAAATTTAATACAATATCTCTTAATTCCTTATCGGACAATTTTTCTCCGTTATCATGTTGTGCGTTCATAAATATATTAAGGATATCTCTGCGGTCATTTAATGCTTCCGGATTATTCCTATGGTTCTTAATTATTTCATAAGCAAAAGTTGTTAAATAATCACACGCTTCACGCACTTTACGACCATCTTCCGTAAAAAATTCTGTGAATTTCCAAAAAGGATTTGAGATTCGATCGTTCATTACTCTTTGCGCAAAATCAAATGCCATTGCAAATTTTACTGGTTCTTTTGGATTTTCCAAACATTTAAAGTCCAATCCGAATGTAATTCTGTAATATTAAATTTTATAAATAAACTTATTTTTTATTTTTTTTTAAAAAAAAAAATAAGACTTACTTTCCGAAAGAATCCATTGTAAACCTAAAAAATAAATCTTGTAAATCAAACTTGTCACCAGTCCTTGCTAATTTATCCAAGGTATTTAATACGATCTCGGTTTCTTCTTTAAACACGACGCTAATAATCTCACGAAAATTTCTGCCGTTAAATAAATGACTCGATAATTTTCTTTGCATTTTCCATGCGTTTCTAAATTAGGAGATCAACAAAAGTGTTTCAAAATGTTACGATATATTAGGTGTAGTAAGGAAAGAAAAAAGGTCAGTTTTTTTACCCATTAATATTGAAAATTCCATCTCCCAAGACATCATAAAGAATACTTTGTAAGATTGGCGATTTATGATAGTTCTCAAAATTC